TAAGTCATATGTATGTGTGATACTTCGTATCATACTTGTGCCTATAGTACACACCTTGTAAACATGTGACGTATACACATAATATAAATATCTATATAGACACTTTGTAATAGTGTACTGTTGTGTCTACATTCTAGCATGAAATGAAGGTGTGCGCACACGCGGATAGCCTCAGCGTAGACACACCGACCAAGTGTATCTTATGTGTCCTCTCTCCTTTCTCCTTTCTAGGAGTGGTATTTGTTAGCAGCCATTATTGTTTTATCATTCGGAAGCTCTATATAAATGTTCTGTTTGTGTGTAGTTTAAAAGAGATTTTAAGGTAAGCACAAGTGTTTAATTACCTTGTTACACCTTCCTAAGAGTATTATTAATATTATAGCAGCGACTCTTCCCTTACTCGATACCTAATTTACCAAATTTTGACTCCAATGAATGAAAACTCCAAATATTCTCGTATAATGATAAAGAGGTTAGCTGAGTTAGTTCTGCAAAATAATGTTTTTTAATTTGGAAATAATAAAAATCTAAATGGATCAGAGAAAGAAAGATTTAAACACTTCAAAGAACTTCTTACACTGATATTCGGTAAGTTATTGATGGATCAATATACAGATATGTTTAATATTCAATAATCAGTTTCATATAAAATTTAAGGGTGAGATTGTTAATCTGGAAATAAAATACAACAAAGTCCAACAGAGTGCTCGATGAATAAGTATGCTAATAAACCAACTGCTTGGAGGGAAAAGAGGAGAAAAAAATGACTAAACGAGGTCCACCAAATCGTGGCGATATACCAGTGTTAACTATTTTAGTATGTTGTTATACTAGGTACTTATATTTTTAATACATTTTGATACAAATTATGTTCTTTTACAGTGTTTTCTTACTTCTGGTTTCTGCAGTGTAAATAATTATCATTATTGTGTTATTTGCGCTATTGCGTTCCATGATATAAAGAAATATAAGAATTTTATTTTTTAACCACTTAATCCATTTTATGGAAGAAAAATGGTACATTTAATACAAAAAAAATGGAACAATTTTAAGGCTACTTCTCTTGAACTTACGATCGAGATACTTTTGAAAAATACAAAGTTTTGCCTTCCTAATTTTCGTTCTAAAAAGATATAATTGGTATGGTATTGAATAAATATTTCTTAAAAAGAACTAAAAGTTAGGCATCAAAACTTGTATTATTTCCTAAATTCGTTCATAAGAAGTAGTTTTATCTAGCACAAGATGTATATACGAAGCAAAATACATACGTATACACGCGGTAGTCACAACCGCAATGTGTAAACATAGTTTAAACGTAATACACAAGCACTGTGTATCCTACGGCACACTGTGTATCCCTTACTTTGTGTATACGTAAATGCTATATTGTGGCTACATTGTGAGGCGGACGTTTAACCTTTGTGCATACCTGTTGAACTACAATGTGTAAACTTAGCATATTTACATCGGGGGAATTGTGTCACCCTGTGTCTACATCTAATAATGTAAACACATCGTAAATGTGATTTGATGTGCTGTATGGGATATGTCTCTAACTAAATCATAAAAATAATATTTTTACTATAATTATCCCAATTTAGGATAAAACGCGACTTAGACGCCATATTATTATAGTTTTGTATTTCTGTGAATTAGGATTTTAAACAACGTTGCAATTTGTACTAAATTAGGCTACTAGCCAACGTCGGTATCCAACGTCGTTTCGACCCAAAAATTATTCTCCAAACTAGTGCAGACTAGGGTTGGCACGAAGTTGTGCCGACGTTGCGTCCCGACGTTTGGTCGTGTGACACAACGCCCAAGCAGCATTTGGACGTCGGGACAACGTTGTGTCACGCGACCAAACGTCGGAGCGCAACGTCGGCACAACCTCGTGCCAACCCTAGTCTGCACTAGTTTGGAGAATAATTTTTGGGTCGAAACGACGTTGGATACCTACGTTGGCTAGCAGCCTAATTTAGTACAAACTGCAACGTTGTTTAAAATCCTAATTCACAGAAATACAAAACTATAATAATATGGCGTCTAAGTTGCGTTTTATCCTAAATTGGGATAATTATAGTAAAAATATTATTTTTATGATTTAGTTAGAGACATAATATGCCAGATGGCAGTAAAGGAAAACAAAACAAAAGTATTTAAGTGTGTGGAGGATGTTTGAAGATCATAATTATTGAAACACTTTAACCGACTCTGTAACTCGTTACCCAAGGCAAAAAAATTAAACGCAAACAACCTTATTAATAAATGTATTGTTTCTACTTTGAAAAATACTAATGGGCCTTAAAATTAAAGAAGTTTTAAAAGAGTACTCGATTATTGAAATTAATTGGTTTTTCCCATCACTAATGCCAATATCACCTGTGACGTAGTGACGAACTTGCGCAATATCATACCTTGTTTTCTTTGTATCATGCCAAACGAGCAAAATAGTCAAACGGACGCTCTCACCTCAATAAAATTTATTTTCAAAAAAGCATTTCGTTGCCCTTTTTTGACACTCATAAAATAAAGGGCACAAGGCGCCCTTTATTATAAACAATAACATTGATCTGATGATTATTATGAATCATAAATACACTGTTATCAAGCATAATCAATAATGTATAATATATTAACTAACGACTAACAGCATATTAGTCTGCTATGGGAGTCTGCTTAGCGAAGCAGGAGTACGGAGATACCTCCGACTGCTCCACAGAAAGCAAAATAAAAAACGCTTCTCGAAAAATAAGGGAAGTAAAAGAACCAAGAAACAGCATGGCGCATCTCCACCAAATGGCAAGAGAGAGAGCGAGAACGTTTCACCTTTGCTCCGGCATCGGCAAAGAGAGAAACAGCCGGATGAAAAGCCGTCCAACAGCGGGAGGCAAGGAGGGACCTAGCTTTGGTCAGGTCCTCACAATTAACCTCAAATGCAAAGAAGCAATAGAGAATGAAATATATCCTCTATACACCGGTATCAGGTCTAAGGAGAGACCAAGTTAAAGAGGTGGAGAAAATGGAGACAGATCCTCCAGATATATACATATAAGTTCCTCGTCTGGCAGGACACAGAGGGCCAAACCACAACCATGGAAGAGTGTATTCCCTCGTAGGAGATAGATGTCATCTACTCCTCGAAGGATGAACATCTGTTGTCAGAGAAGAATGGGAAATACCCTGTCTTCACTACAACAGGAAGATCCCCGTGTATGATGAGTTATACACTGTATGATGAGTTATAACTCAAGAAAGGGAGACACAATAGATCTTTAAGGTTGCGATGATTAACCATCTATATTCTACACAATCTATATTCTACAAAACACTTGGATAGCTTGAAGTGATGAAACGCTAAAAATAACGAAGTAATAAACGAATTAAACAAATAACTACATTTTTTCTACCAAATTTAATTGGGTAACTTTTCATAAAGGGTTTCTTATTTCATACTCACTGGACTATAATCTATCCACCTCAAGAATATATGATAGTTATAATCTGTTATTTTATCTCAAAATTATATTATTCAAATCTGTGATTTTTAGAGTGTCGTTTGTCGACATCATACATGGATGGCATGTGTATACAAGGTGGTCCGAACTGTATTCCGGAAACTTCGGCAACATATTCTGCAGATAAAAATAAGTAAAAAAGTTCGTATAAATGTATGTCCTAAAGTGCGTAGTTTCGGAGATACAAGGTGTAGAAGTTTCATTTTTATTTCGATTTTTTTCCAAATAATTTCTGAAGTAACGTCAATATTTAGATGGAAATTGATGTCTAGGAGTTTTTTGACATGAGAAATTTGATTTTGAAGTCAATATGACTCGTATTTGTAGGGGCGCCAGCTACATGTGTTTTAACTAGTAATAACTTTTCGTACCTGTATAAAACCACTGGGTGAAAAAATATACATATCCGTAATTTTTTACGTAAAAAATATTTCTTGGTAATAAATTGACTGAAATGATAAATTTGTAAACTTTTTTTTAAATTAATCATAAATTTTTCTTTGAAAAAATGATGATAAAATAGTTTCTGTTGAACTTTCTGTTTGAAAAAAGTTCACGAATTTATCATTTCAGTCAATTTATTACCAAGAAATATTTTTTACGTAAAAAATTACGGATATGTTTATTTTCAACATGTTTAACTTATGTCAATGACGACAGGTATTGATAATTTCGATTCCAAATATCTCGAGAACCATTACCCGTAGCGATTTTTACCAAGAGATCTTTTTTATGTAAAATTTCATGGAAATGTATATTTTTTCATTCAGTTGTTTTATACAAGTACGGACGAAAGTTATTACTCTTCAAAACAGTTAAAACACATGTAGGTGGCGCCCCCTAAAAATAGGAGTCATATTGATATCAAAATCAAATTTCTCATGTCAAAACTTCCAGACACCAATTTTCATCCAAATATTGATGTTACTTCAGAAATTATTTGGAAAAAATCGAAATAAAAATGAAACTTCTACACCCTGTATCTCCGAAACTAAGCATTTTAGGACATACATTTATAGGAACTTTTACTTATTTTTATCTGCAGAATATGCTGCCGAAGTTTCCGGAATACAGTCCGGACCACCCTGTATAGTAAACTAAGATAACCAAACAACCGATTTTTATTATCTGTTACAACCAAACCAAAATTCTCTCCAAGTATGAGCTTCTTTCAGTTTTCTATTTTTTCGTTTATTATTAGAAAGAAAAATTCATATCTCGATATCTACTATTTGGAAAAAATATCTCGTCAATGTATTGGACAAAAGGAGAAGAGCAAGAATTTTCTCAAACTCATAAATTAAATAGCGCATTATTATGATGTAATCAACACCGTTGCATTTTCCTCTCCCCGACTTATAGTGATTCTCCTTCCACATAGTTATTCACATAAATACCTACCCAAGTCCCTCTCTTGCTCATGCTGTACACTGTCTCACCAGATAGACTCTGGAAAATTCGGCACAGAGTTAAAAAAACTCCAATCAATATAGATTTATTACTCATTGCAAACAAAAACAAAAATAACTATAATCAACTACAATATGAAATATAAATCATATTGTAATTAAACAAACAATTTATAAATAATATAGGCATGTGTAAATAAGATAACAATATTTTTGTTCTAACTCTATATATGAAATGGAAAAACATCTCTGTAAAATTAGGAAACTATTTTGTATATATTATTTTTGTAACAATCCAAAGTTTAACTACTGTTTTTCTTAAATTAATGAACACTACTTAGTATACATTTGATCTTAACATTTACCCTAACTAATGCTACATTCTAACTCCCCACTTTTAGGCACACAATCTAGGTAGAGAGCGATTGCTCTAGTGATGTATGTCATCGTACCAAAAGCTCCGCTAGGGGCGCTGTCATAGAAATGTTGACATATGTATGCCGCACCTCCGCACAGTAATCCGCCGGTATTGGTTGTTTCGCGATGTTCTCTTGGTTTGGCACAGCACAATGTAGCATCTCCATCACATTTTATCTGAAACAATTAAAAATAAAATATTAATAAAAAATTGGTCAAGTGCGAGTCGGACTCGCGCACGAAGGGTTTCGTACCATTCATTATCTATACAACATTAGACACTATATTATTATAAACTTTTTTCCGATTTAGCTGAAATTTTGAATGCGCGCATAAGTAATTTAAAAAAAATGAAGAAACACATTACTAAAAATTGTATTAATCAATAATAAATATGTAAAAAGTAAAAATAAATATGAAAAAATTAAAAAAAAACTATTAAAAAAAGTCGCCTTGACTAGGATTCGAACCTGCCTTACTACAGCTCCAACGTTATAGCAGCGTAAAGTCCTAACGCTTTAACCACGCGGCCACCGAGGACTTGAAAGATTCTATGTAAAATTCTTACTTAAAAGATAATGTTTAGTGAAAGTACATTTTTATTTATAAACGTTTATTTAATCCTGTTTTTAGTATTTGTTCTTATAGCGGCAACATAGATACATTATCTGTAAAAATTTCAACTGTCTAGCTATAACGGTTCATAAGATAGAGCTTTGTGACAGACGGACGGACGGACAGCGAAGTCTTAGTAATAGCACAGATTATACAGATTATAATCTTTGTTTTTTCTTTGTTGCTTTTCGTGGTTCCAATTTTCGGAATCGGGCACTAGTTAGGTTACTAGTTTGCGCACATAGCACGCCCACTTATGGTCTGTAAAATTGTGCACAGCGCCTGATCGGCACAGTTATTAGAGAGATATCGCAAAACCGAATAGCGTCATGCAGTATTTACGCGTACCTTATCATGGTTACGATATGCGCGAGTCAATTTTTAACGCAACGCCCGCTAATAACGTTACCGCCTGACGTAATTTGCGGATCAATTACACCAAGCACTATTTCTAAATAACGTTTAAAAATTGCTTAAATGGGCATGTGCGGGTATTTGTCAACCATGGCCGGCCGGCGAGATCTTTTATTTTAGGTTGTGTTTGAATTGTCGGTGATGGTACCTTTTAGGTATATCGCCAATCTTGAAGTTATTGGTGTAAATTTGATATTAATATGTTATACAATTAATGTTTTAACGTTTTAAGTACGGATCGTCGGCTAAACGTTTGAGATCACTTCAATAAAATTATTTATTTTTTGACCAAATTTGAGGTTAAAATATAGCTTTCTCTATTAAGTTTAATAAGAGTGACAAAGAAGACATAGAATTAGCTTATTTGTCTTTTGTTCGCGTCTGCGCATATCGCCATATATCGCTGGCGGTAACAATGAAATGTTGAAAATCCGGATTTTGTTTTATTTATGCTTTATAATTAATTTTGAAAAATAGGGATAGCGATATTGAGTTGATAAGAATAGATATTATATTTTGATATGTGTTAAAGGTTGAGAAGAGGATCACAATGGTAAAAACGTCCGCCGTAACTGAGTTTTGATTGCATTGGTTACAACATTCTTTTTGGGGGGTTTGTTTTTGGTATTATTTATGGACGATCCGCACCTTTTTTGTTAGAAAATGTCATTAGAAGTGTTCCTCTTCTCAATTCTGTATAGAAAATTTTAAAGTTTTGATGTACCTAAAAGGTACCAGACCCGAATTGTTTTGAATTATTACTTTAGTTTTATTAGGTAATTTCATATTTAAGTAGCTGGGATTAGTTTTAATTAAATAAATACGGCCCAAAATATGGATTCCTCCTCTTCCAATATTAAAGAACCTATAAAGAGGCTTAGGTTTACAGCAGATAACGACTTAGCCCTTCTAAGAGAATTCGTTGCTTGTTGCTCTAAACCCACTGGCAGACGTTGAACAATAAAGCACTGGAAATAAGCACTTTTGCCCTTTAGTTTTCAAATACCTAGTAAACAAAACAATTTCAAAGTTTTAAATTCAAAGTTGGGTTAAGTTTAAATAGCGGACGCGACGCGAACAGAATTCTTTCCGATCCGATAAGTTAATACCACCTCACGTAAAGGAAATAACACCTGGCCAAAACCTGGCCTTATTAACGTCCATACACGCTATTCGGTTTAGCGATATCTCTCTATTACGCTGTTTATTGTTATTTTACGCGAGTTTTGCACATCGTCATAAAAACAATTTTCGTACCACGAATTAGGGATAAGATTTTTATCTGTATACATATAGTATACTTAATCTGTGGTAATAGGGTTCCCGTTTTTACCCTTTAGGTACGGAACCCTAAAAATATATCGTAAAGTTTGGGCCAATAACAGATGGGATATCGGTTGTATAATAATAATAAATGTCTTTATTCCCAAATAAAAATAGAAATATTACAAAATAAAAAATAACACGCTGATAAAAAAAATAAACACTATAACCAAAAAAATCCAAACAAAAGAGTCAATCACTTCTAAATGAGAAGGAGCGAAATTCAGAACCTAACCGAGCTCTGCTCTTCCGTTTAACTCTTTGATGACATTAAAAAGAAAACAAAAAAAAAGTATATACATAACCAAAACGCCATTAAATTAACAAAAAAAAATCTGCTGTAGTTAGCCTTAGGTTAGGTATATATTAGGTTAGGTATCGCGAGACCTAAGTAAATTGTGAAGCTGAACGCATGATGTACACCTTTTAATAGAATTTTAAGTACTGATTGGGTCAACCGCGTATCTTGGGGATAATTAAGATAGATCTTGAAGAAAAAAAAATCGGTCAAGAGAAATCGCTAGGTTTGTTCTAACACATAAATATGTACCGTTCTAGAACGGTAATTGGGATCGCCGGCATCGGTGTTGTAGAATTATTGTTATCTACTGAGATTAAATAAAAAGCTAGATACAAAAAATAAATCGTTCCTCCATTTTAAAGGTGAGGCGCGGCCTCATAGGCCTACCCTGACGAGCCGCCACTTAAAATTACTTTCAAATATATTTTACAAAACAAATCCAACCAAAATACATAAAAAATTAAAGAAAAAAAATACAGTAACAATCACATTATACTCTGTTTTTTCACTCAGGTAAGATTTCGACAGACGATGGCAGAAAAAATGCAGATGACCTCCATACCAATACATTTATTTCACTAAAAAATGTTTCTAATATTTTTTAAGTTAACTATGGATGGGTTTATGTACCATGCTGGCAACTCTTATTTTTGGGTCGGTATTTACATGTGTGGAAGTAAATCGCTTAGGAATCTTATTATCTTGGAGTGAGAGAAATGCGACAATCTGTTCCGGCGTTGCCACATTTCTCCGGTACGTCTTTCCCTATCAAATAAAGTAAAATCACGATCGCAAACCGCTTATTTTTAAGATTTTTTTTCGAAAAAATAACTACATAAAATCATTAGATATGTTTCTGAGCATCTGCAATGGAATTATGGATATCGTTAGGATATCCATTTTTTTAACGAGAAAATGTCAGTAATTGCGATAATTTAAGAAATCAACTTTTTAACACATAACACGCGATAACTTAAGAACAACTTTAGATATTGAAACATTTTTTTTTTATTTTGAAGTTCGGATGAAGATATTTAAATAAGAAAAAATCGATAGGCTTGTTCTTTTTTCATTCATAAATTTCAAAAAAAAATCCATTTACTTTTAGTGCATAGCAACTTTCAGCAATCGTGTAACTTTTTTTCTGTAAATTTTTGAATTCAGAGTTCTAATAACGCGACCACTGTCGAACACCAGCTCAATTCCACTTATTTTTACCAAAAGTGCAAGTGTTTCTTACTTGCTCTTAAAAATGTACAACCTATAGAACAAATTACAACGACTCGTTAATAAATAAACAAATAAAGTATCACGAGACCTAATTAAATTGTGAAGCTGAACGCATGATCCTTCCCTTGAATTTTAACGCACCCTTTCCTTGAATTTTAAGTACCGCGACGAATCTGTTAACCCCCTTCCACGTCTCTTAGCAATGTGCAGTTTCTCGGTTTATTTCATACGTTTGGCAACGTTTTACTGTTCTCTCTTTATTCAGTACATTATAAACGCATTGTACTCTTCTTACATACGGGAATCTCGACCTGAAACTAACCTTCGCCAGCCCCAGTATAAATCCGGCATGCGTCGTCTCTTGATGTTTTTAACCAGTTTTATTGGTTTATTTCAAAAATGATGACCGATGCACGGACGCAGATGCGTATGAACTCGACTTAAGATTTTTGAAGCTTGTCAAACTCTTGCCAAATTAGAAGTTAAAATTTGTGTTAAATTATGTCAAATACATATTTGCGAATTGCTTTTGCCTTTTGGTTCATGTTATTAGTTGTGTCTTGTGTTTTTTTTAAAGTTAAGTGGACGAAAAATCGGGGGAAAATTAACTGTAGACCCAGAGCACAGTCTATAGTTAATATTCGGTGCCCACCAATAGCTACCAACAAAGTTTGTATACCATCTCCTATATGGTACTAAAAACTAGAGTAGCTGTAAAATAGCGACATCACACGATCTATCACTGTCAAGGATTTTGTCGTTGGACAGACTATACTTATGTGAGTTACTTACATTTTGCGTATTTTGAAAAAAAAAAGAATATAGCTTTCTCTAAATAATATATTCTACTAAATTCAGTATTATCACGTTATAATTTCATTTAATAAAATAAAACACACACACTATTGTAATCGACACCAAAAAGTGATCATTGGGTTGGAATAATAATTTGTTCCGATTTGAACAGTAACTGGAATTGTCCATAATTAATCAAAATATATAGGCAATAAAATGATCAAATTTACCTGGACTGTAATAACCTTTAAATAGCATTTCCTAATGTCATAAAATTTTGCACGTAACATAAACTAATTACATTATAAACTTTGTTTTATTTATTATTATCCGGCAAATATCAATCAGTTTTTAATTGGCAATTAACACGAATATTGGTCTATAACTGACACATCAAGATATATCTAACGATATTTACGAAAATTGAAATGTATACTATCGATACCAAATGAACTTTCAGTTACGTCATCTGACTAACTGGAATTTAAATTTCCCGCTG